AGATGGATATTTCTTCCAACAGGGTCAACAATGATAAATTGAAAAAGCATTAAGTCCAGTTGCTTCCTGAATTCGCTTGCTGGGAAATTCTGGGAGTTGAAGTCCAGACATCTTCAAGTTGCTAAGGTTGAGAAACACTGGTCTAGGAGAATGTTTTGGTTCTTTGTGAGTCAGTATTTTTATTATTATTTCTCTTTTAGTGTCTTTGAATCTGTTTCTTTATTTCTTTAGCAATAGCAGTTAGACTTATATACCGCTTCATAGGGCTTTCAGCCCTCTCTAAGCGGTTTACAGACTGTGGGGGAGCATATCTCCCCCACAGTCTGGGTCCTCATTTCACCCACCTCGGAAGGATGGAAGGCTGAGACAACCTTGAGCTTTGAAGATTTGAACCGCTGAACTGCAGATAACAGTCAGCTGAAGTGGCCTGCAGTACTGCACCCTAACCACTGCGCCACCTCGGCTCTTTAGAGTGCTGGCAACTGTCATCCCAGCAAGTTTTCTGAGCAATGTTTTTGGAAGGGGTTGGCCATTGTCTCCTTCCTAGGGCTGAGAGAGAGTGGCTGGCCCAGGGTCCACTCAGCTGGTGGTGTGCCTCAGAATTATGATTATCGAAAGTTGATTGGTGGAATTATACATAATTGAAAACAGCGATATACAAATATAAATGGTTGGTAAATCTCTTTCATATTGGGATCTGTGATTATATAAAGGTATATTGTAATTAAACAGACAATCAATAGCAATAGCAATAGCAGTTAGACTTATATACCGCTTCATAGGGCTAAGCGGTTTACAGAGTCAGCATATCGCCCCCAACAACAATCCGGGTCCTCATTTCACCCACCTCGGAAGGATGGAAGGCTAAGTCAACCCTGAGCCGGTGAGATTTGAACTGCAGAACTGCAGTCAGCTGAAGTANAAAAAAAATAGAGATTTCTATTAAGTCAATAAAGATTTAGGTATTTCTGCTGGGAAGGAGAGAAAGGAGAAGTAGACAAAAGCAGAGCTTCACTTGTTAAATTTCTGCCCTTTATATTATACACACACACACACACACACACACATATATATATACCTATACATACATATAATATATACATATAAACTCATATTTTTAGGATAGTTTGCAATCTATCTATCTATCTTGCAAACTATCCTAAAAATATGATTTCCAAGTGTAGCTTTAAAAGAAGTTCCAGAGGTCGTGATGTCTGTCTCTTCATCTATCAATCAATCAATCACTCAATCTAATCAATCTCTCATATCTATCCATACACACATATATATTTTATATATTGTTTCTCAGGATGCTTTAACAGCATCCACAGTAGGCATTTTTGATTGGAAGAGCTCCAAAGGCGCTGGACTACAACTCCCGTCATTCTCAGCATGGCTGAAAGGGCGTTTTTATAATCTATTCTATTAGGTCTCAAGGTGCTTTAATAGTATCTACTCTGGGCATTTTTTTTTAATTGGAGGCTCTCCAGAGGGGGACTGGACTACAACTCCCAGCATCCTCAGCCCGGCCCAGAGAAGCCCCCCCTAAGGTGGGGATGGGGGGGGGGAAGAGCCATCCAGACGGCCCTCCATATAGCCTAACGCTGGGTCCACGTAACTCCAGTGTCGCCACGTTCACAAATTAACCCCGCTCCTTCTCGCGTGTTGTCTTCCGTTGCTCAGCCCCCCCCCCCACCTCCGGGGCTCTTCCAGACGGCGGGCTGTTCCAGGCCGCGGCCTTTTTTAACGCCCCCTCCCCGACCCCGCAGGCCTCCGACCCGGGCCTATCCCTTTGGTTCCGAACCCGGCCCTATCCAACGCCTCCGTAGGCCTCGGATCCCCGAGGTTCCCCCCAAGTCTCTCCCGGTTTCGGATGGCTCACCATGTTGGCGGATGGCTTCGGATTCTCCTCAGGAGCGGGGGGAGGAAGAAGAGGGGGAAAAAAAAACCGGCAACAATGGCGGTAGCTCGAACTGCCCTGTCTCGTTGGCAAGAGCCGAGCGGGCGGAAGAGAACGCTGACGTCAATCAGCCGCCTTTTATATGAGGGAGGCCGGAGTGGGCGGGGAGAGCCAGAGGGAGGAGGCGGGGCCGCGCGAGGAAACCCTTAGCGCACGCGCCTCGTCCGAAAAGGCCCCTCTCTATGGTCCGAAAGCGGGAAAGAAAGGAAAGAAAAGCCTGCGCAGTTTCTTCTTCCCCCTTTTTTTATTAAAACGTTCGATCAACCCGGAAGCGCCTGCTGGTGATTCAACCACGTGGCTGACGGCCAAATGGGCAGCAGTGAATTTGAAATGGAGTGGAAAAATAATTATTGCGTGTAAAATAATACGCCTATTTGGTATCACTCCAAATATATTATTTAAAGACGGATATTTTTAAAAACTTGCGAACCCATCCCATTGGAGCCTTCCCAGAAAATTCAATCTAAACTCAATAAAAGTCAATGCATTCGTTTCAAATCGGTATTTTTTCAGGCCTCCTTAAGATGAATGGACTTCAACTCCCAGAATAGCCCAGCCGGCATAGCAACAGGATCTAATAAGGCTTGGATGCACCCTAAGAAATGTGTAGGATTTCACTGAATGTAGGAAGTTAGCACCCACCCCTCTCCTAGGAGAATGAAATATCCTGGGAAATATTGAAAAGGCAGAACGCATTTCCCTGGATCAGAAATGGAGAACTGGGTATGTCTAGTTTAATGAAAAGAAGGACTAGGCGAGACATGATAGCAGTCTTCCAATATCTCCGGGTTTGCCACAAAGAAGAGAGAGTTGAACTATTCTCTAAAGAACCTGAGGGTAGAACAAGAAGCAATGGGTGGAAACTAATCAAGGAGAGAAGCAACTTAGAACTGAGGAGAAATTTCCTGACAGAACAATTAATCAGTGGGACAGAAGTTGCCTCCAGAAGTTGTTAATGCCCCAACACTGGAAGTCTTTAAGAAGATGTTGGATAGCTATTTGTCTGAAACAGTATAGGGCTTCCTGCCTAGGCAGGGGGTTGGACTAGAANGCAATATGCTGACTCTCTGTAAACCGCTTAGAGGGCTGAAAGCCCTATGAAGCGGTATATAAGTCTACTGCTATTGCTATTCTTTTCCCTGGACCAGACATGCTAAATTCCTGCAACTGTTATTTATATGTTTTAGCCTCCAGCTCCCTCATCTTCTTGGTTGCTTTCTCTGCACTGCCTCTAGAATCTTATTTTCACTTCCAATTATTATATTTAAAATTAAATAATTTTAAATGCAATATGCCTGCCTCCCGGGGACCCAGACCCTTCCCACTGACTATTCACACAGCCTAAAATGCTCTGAACAAAACTCAGAAGGTAAGGAAGCAAAAAAGCAGGGTCAGCAACAGCAGACTACAAAATCCCGAGCTGGCCAGTTAGTCCCCATCTTATGACGAGAACCGAGACCAAAATTTCTTGTCGAGTGAAACATTTATTTCGGTTTGTCCCGTTTTACGACCTTTTCTGCCCCAGTTAAGTGAATCACTGCAGTTGTTAAGTCAAACTGTGGTTAAGTGAATCCGACATCCCCAATGACTTTGCTCACCACAAAAGGGGACAATGCAATTGTCATAAATATGAATCAACTGCCAGGGGTGTCTGAATTTTGATCATACGACCGTGGGGATGTTGCAAGCGTTGTGTGAAAACTGGCCCAAAGCCCCCTTTTCCAGGGCCGTTGTAACTTGTAACGGTCACTAAACAAGACTGTTGTAAGTCAAGGACTACCTATGCAAGTTTATCAGAAAAGTCGATTGGTTAGGGTTTTTCCCCCCCTTAAACCAGGGATTTTGTGTTACACTGAATTACAAATAATCAGATCGGTCAATTTATTGGATTTTTAAGCAGGGGGAGTTCTAGTCTTGCCTTAGCCACGAAAGCCAGCTAGTTGAAAACCAATCCTTTTCATATCCCCCCTCACAGGGTCGTTGTTGTTGTGGGAAAAACAGGAGGAATGTTAGGTATGCTCGCCTGCCTGAGTTAAACTTATGAACAATAAATAAAAGCATGGATTAAAAAAGCAAATAAATAAATAAATTATAATAATTCCATGGCTTGGTACAATCTTATTTTAATTTTACAAGATAAAATAAAAAAAAATGTCCTTTTTTTTTTCAGGAGGCAACTGGACTTTCTGGTTTTTCTTTTGAAGGCGTTTCGCTTCTCCTCCAAGAAGCTTCTTCAGTTCTGACTGGATGGTGGGGAATGGAAGGATTTATATTCCTGACAGCTGGTTATTAGCGAATAGGCGTCAATATAAATTCAATAAATGAATAAAATAAAATATAAATCCTTCCTTTGCTCACCATCCAATCAGAGCTTCTGGGATGAGAAACGAAACGTCTTCAAAATTAAAACCAGAAAGCCCAGTTTTGCCGCTTGAGAAAAAACAAAACCCCTTTGGGACAATTGTGACCTGGGATGATGGAGAGTCTCCTTGAAGCCAACCATATGGTAGAATAATGTGGCACTTGGACAGCCGAAATGCCCTCTGGAAGGATTGGCTGGGCCTCCTGCCAAAGGTGGCAGAGAAAGCATTTGGCATCTCAAGGAGGAAGCCATCCTAAGCAGCTGATGTTGTTCCCCCCAAATCAGGAAGGACCGCCCCCCCTTTCCTTCCTCAGTCTTCCTCATCTGTGGACTTTGGGGGAAAGGGAGGAAGGATAGACGGATGGATGAGAAGGGAGGAAGGGATAGATGAGGAAGAAAGGGCAGGGAGGGAGAGAGATGGAGAAGGAAGGAAGGATGGATGGTAGAAAGGAGGAAAGGAAGGCAGGAAGGAAATTGGGAGGAGGGAGGATANTGGAATTGGAAGTCTATGGGTTTTAAAGTGGGAATTTAGAATTCTGGGAATTGAAGTCCAGAAGTTTCAAAGCCTTATGGAATTGGAAGTCTACAGGTTTTAAAGTGGGAATTTAGAATTCTGGGAGTTGGAAGTCCTGAAGCCTTAAACTTGCCAAGGTTGGCTACTACCCCTGCTCTACATCCTTAGCATCGCCCACACCCTCCAGCAAAGCTCAGGGTCCCAAGGGGGAAGTGGGAAGCCAGTTTCTTACCGGAAACACAATCCACAACAACCAAGGCACCGTCGGTGACCCGTAGGGCAGCTGTAACTTCTGAAGAAAAATCCACGTGGCCAGGGGAATCGATTAGGTTGATCAGGAACCCGCAGCCATCTTTGCTTTGCTTGATGAAGGCCAAGTCGTGCTCTGAGAGCTCGTAGAAGAGGGAAATGGCCCTAGGAGACGAGGCAGGGAAAAAAGTTTACAGACATTCCAGATACTTAAAAGTGAATATGAAGATAAAACCAAAAAATGTTTCTTTTGGGTTTAATGGAAAGACTTTGGGGGGAATTGGGACTTTTGTTATACACACACTGTATTTTTCAGACTATAAGGCGCACCTAGATTTACAAGAACAAGAAAAAAATAGTTTTTGGCCTCTGGGCATCTCATTTTCGCGCTCCCTGGCCCCCAGAAGCGCACTGTAGTACTCCGCACATCCTGTTTTTTTTAAAAAATGGGTCTGTTTTTTGCCAAAAACATGCCCGTTTTTGGCCTGCTGAGTTCTTCTGGGGGCCGGGGACAGAGAAAACGGGATGCATGGTGGGTTCAGGAGCCCCAAAACAGGCCGTTTTTGGCAAAAGAAATCCTGTTTTTGGTGAAAACACAATGCGTGGAGGGCTCAGGAGCCTGAAAATGGGCCCATTTTTGCCAAAAATGGGACATACAGGCACTACAGACTATTTCTGGGGGGTCAGGGAGGGTGAAAATATGATGCAAGGAGGGTTCGGGAAGCCAAAAACAGGCCTGTATTCGGTCTATAAGAGGCAATGAAATTTTCATCCATTTTCCCCCATTTGTAGGAGGGGTGGGGGAGGGAGTGCGTCTTATACTCAGAAAACTACGGTATACGGGAAGACTACTTTAAGCACAAAAATGGAAGGACACTTTGATCCCCACAAAGCACGAATGGCTGCAAAAGTTGAGTTGGCAGAGATGGCTAAATTGACTGCTTTGATCGAAGAAAGAAAGAAAAAAAAAACATAAGTATTTTTGTTTCTACTTGGAAACCGTTTCTGGACTTTGTGCTTGAGGTGGGGGGGAAAAAATGAAGCTTTTTGACTTTGGGTTTCACCGATTAGATTTGTTGATATAGGAATGGCCAGTTTATGCTCTGTAAAAGTAAAAAGTTGAGGTCTGATCTTACTATCTTTTACTGCACCGAAGGAGTCAATGCCTTCTCTTTCTTTTTCCCTTCTTTTCTGCCCTCTTCCTTTCCCTTCCTCTATTTTTCCTACTTGTTTTTGTATTTCGTATTATAAAAAAATTTTAAAAAATTAAAAAAGAAAAACAGTCCACTGTTCACCTGCCCACAGCAAGAAGTAGAAAAGGACTTCAATAGTCCTTGGTTTATGATCACAATTGAGCCCAAAATTTTTGTTAAGTGAGACACTTGTTAAGCAAATTTTGCCCCATTTTACGACCTTTCTTGCCACCATTAAGTGAAACACTGCAGTTGATAAGGTAGTATAACCTGGCTATTAAGTGAATTTGGCATCCCTGTTGACTTTGTCAGAAGGTCACAAAAGGGGATCACGTGGCCTTGGGACACAGCAACGGTCATAAATATGAACCAGTTGTCAAGCGGATTTTGATCACATGACCCTAGAGATGTTGCAAAGGTCGTTCATCTGTGAAAAGCGATCAGGTGGTCCCTTTTCTTCCAAGTGCTGTCGTTAGCTTTGAGCTGTCACTAAATGAACTCTTGCAAGGCAACCAACTTGGCTCCTTCTCTCTCATCCCCCCCCCCAAAAAAAAGAGTCACCAAAGGGACTTACGTCGACTTGATGGTAATGCATCTCTCTTGCTCGTCTTTCCTCGTGTCGGTGAAACGGGTCTCTCCAGCACGGGACGAGGCGATGATCCCAGCTTTGCATACCAGCGAGTCGGTGAGAGTGGATTTTCCATGATCCACGTGGGCAATCACTGACATGTTCCGGATGTTGGCCTTTTTATCCATGATGGCCCGGATCTGGTCTACTGTGAAGTTCACCTGGAAAACAGGAAGAAGATGATGATTGTGCTGGACCAACGAGCCGCCAGTTTCCTTCTCAAAGGAGATGGAAACCCCGCCAGGACAGAATAACAAGAGTTGGGAGCTCGGAGGTCTTCTAGTCCAACCCCGCTAGGTAGGTCCTATACCAGGGGATAGCTAACCTTTTTGTCATGTGCCAAAAGCATGCGCCCGCACATGATAGTGCACGTGGCCACACCCATATTACAATGCGTGCGCCTGTGCCCTACCACATGCACTCCCCCCCAGCACATGTATGGGCGACACCTCCCCCTGTGCCCCGTTTTGGGCCTAGCAAGGCCTCCCTGAAGCCTCCTGGGACCAAAGACGGGGCACGGGGCGCTGCAACCACCACGCGTATGTCTACGCTGTTACAGGTGTTATGTCTGTCTGCCTTGCATGTAGCTCTATTCCTCTCTAGCATTCACCTCCATTGTTCAGTGACGCATTTCCTGCCTCTCTAGGATTTACCCTCTAGCTGCTCCTGGGAGGCACTTCCTGTTCCTGTTGGATGTATATAGTTCTATTCTCGATGACTTGCATAGTGTTTTAAATGCATTTGGATTAAGCTACACGCGCTGCAGGGACCCGAAAATCAGCTGGATGATGGGAGGCGCGCATGCATGCGAGGTGAAGCTCAGCTGGGGCGATGGCTCGCCGTGCCACCTGTGGCATGCTTGCCATAGGTTCACATCAGGGTCCTATACCGTTTCAGAACAATGGTCCAAACTTCCAGTGTTGGAGCACCCACAACTTCTGGATGAAAGCCATTCCACTGATTGATTGTTTTGTCAAGAAATTAATCCTTAATTAATCCTTAATTGTAGATTGAATCTCTATTTGATATGTTTTCAACTGTTACTCCTTTGTCCTGCCTTCAGGACAAAGCTTTGGAGAATAGCTTGATTCCCTTTTCTTTGGGGCAGCCCCTCAAATACTGGAAGACTGCTACCATGTCACCCTCTGGTCCAAGGTGGCGCAGAGGTTAAATGCAGCACTGCAGGCTACTGCTAGATCAGCAGGTCAGCGGTTCAAATCTCACCGGCTCAGGGTTGACTCAGCCTTCCATCCTTCCGAGGTG